AGGGACTTTGGAGCCCGCGTAGCGCCCTGTGTAACTTGACGTTTTGTGATGTATGTTCGCCAGTGTAGCTCAGTGGTTAGAACACCGGTTGGAAATGCGCAATGTGGTCGCCTCATAAAAAAATTACGGCACCAGTATCAGACCTGATGCCGACCATAACAATGCGATTCCCACGAGCGTGCACAACCGTAGTGAAAATTACCGACCCAAAAAAAAAAGATCATTAAACCACCAGTACCTCCGCCAGTGTTAGGAAATTACGATGTCTTGGCCAGTACCCGAACTTTGCGGGGTGGGACACAGGGTCGCCAATGTCCCATAAATCTGAATTTTAGAGTGACGAAAAAAAGGAAAAAAAAAATGCTTTCTCTGCTGCAATGATGTCGGGCTGGGTAGTCTAGGAGGCCGTGCTCACAATCTTCCTCCACAGAATGCACCTTACAGGTAAGGCGGTCACATTCTGAATGTTACTGTTTTCTTTTTTTTGTTGGTCGTGTGTTCCTTATGAGTCCCCTGTCCATGAATTGCTCAAGATGTCCGTGATCTGCTCAAGCTGTGTTTTGTCAGAGGATTGTAAGGCTCATCACACTGGCACTTAGGGGAATGTATCCAACCATTTTCACGGCTGGATCCATGTGCCCGTTTTTTGGAATCTGACAACCTGGCCACTGGGCTGAGATGCCCTCATTGAGAGCACACTCGCACTACCACTTCCAAGAATGTATACAACTGCAATCACAACCAAAGCTTTGTTTCCTTTTTTTTCTTTTTTTGAGGTTCACAACCGCAACTTTTTTTCTTCTTTTTTGTTTTTTTTTGTTCTTTCCGTGAGAGTATCAGAAAGAAAACAAAGTGGTACCCAAACTCGGCAAAACTCGGAGCGCAGTGAAATTCAGGGTTGGCAAAAACAGGCTCGGAGGTACTGGTGGTTTAAATCTGAATTTTAATCAAAAACATAATTTTATAACCGGCAAATATGCTGGCCCATAACATCAACAAAAAGAATAACCTGCGCCTCAAAAGCTAGAGCGCCCACACACACACACTAGCACGCACAAACATTCAACCGTCGCCTGCCGAAAAAACAGCCGTTCGCGCACTCGTTCAAATCATATTCTTGTCACTTGCAAAAACAAGGGCGGATACCCTTGTAAGGGTATTCGTGCCCCGCCATGGCAGGGTCATATCATAAAGAATTTAGGCCAAAAGGGTATTCAGCTCTCCCCACATCTTTTAGGGGCATTTTGGCATTTGTTAACTTTGAGGGGTAAACGCAGATTTTCCCTAGAAATAACAAATAAATTAGTAAATAAACAAGGAAATAAAATTTGACCGTCTTGTTCATCAGGAGTCGAACTCATGATTTGGTGTATCGTGCGCTCCTATGGGCTAGATGTAGGTGAGACCCAGTTCTCGATAGTCGTCTGGGGATGAAACTTTGCTGGGAGGGCAAGGAAGGAAAGAAACTTCGCTGGGAGGACAAGCAAGGAAAGAAACTTTGCTGGGAGGACAAGGATGGAAAGAAACTTCGCTGGTTAATGATCGAGCAGTGCGGAGTTCCGGTGTTCCACGGGTCGTGCCGATCTTTGTCGGCCGTGCTCAGGTTGAAGGGGAGGCGTTGGAGCTGGGGCGTCACCTCGCCGCCGACGGCTGGGGGGGGGGGCCAAGCCGACGGACGAGACGCGACAAGCAAGGGCATAGCCGCTGTTTCCTGCTTGTGGCGTGAATTGCTTGCACTCTCAACATCTCCATTTTTTTCAATCCTCCCCGCTCGAATTGTCGAAGGCTCCATTGGAAAAGTATTGCATTCGAGGAAAAGTCAAGTGGCGGCTCCATGTGTCTATTGCCGACTCAAGTTCGCAAGCTCGGTTGTAACGGCTCTTCCTACGTGGATCGATCATTCTGTACGAGGATCCGGCGTCCACGTAGATAGAGAGGCGAGGGAGAGGGATGGGTCCTAGATGCCGATCTGCTGGTGGAATGATCTGCAAATGGGCGGGAAAGGGAAATAAGACCCGAGGGATGGGGAGAAGAGCGGGAGTAGACAGCGACGCACGGTGGTGGGGTTAGGGGGGAGTAAGGGAAGTTGCCGGCCGGTAGGAGAAGACAGCGCGGGGGATCACGATTTTGTCGTACTTCGTGTCTACGGTTTTGTCGTCTTTCGTACTCCGTGTACGTGCTCCTAGCTACGTGTTTCGAGCATTGACGCTGGCGGCGTAAATCAGGGCTCTCTCTCTCTCTCTCCCTATCCCTTTTCTTCTCTCTTTTTCTCTGTTCTCTCCTTTTGCCTCTTTTTTGTGCTGCGTCCGGTGTGCTTGGTGCTTCGTGAAATTCGTGCAACCTGCTTTCCTGAACGTGGTGCTTCCTGAATTTGTGCTACATTGCACGTGCGACTTGCCACGGTCTAAGTGCATTGGTGCTGGCAACGTAATCTGAGTTACGTGAGCTACGTGAGTGACCTTGGTGCTACGTGAAATTTCCGACGTGCCGAGGTGCTACGTGAACTTCGGCGCGACTTATTCCAACGCCGGCTTGGGGGATTGTCTACTTTTGTGGAACTCGGGACGCCTGGGCTTAATCATGGCCGAAGACTTGCGCGTTGTTGGTTGATCGTTCTCAGCTGGAGGCTTCGACGGCATGGCTGAATCAAGTGAGTGCCCATTTCTTTGACCTCCTCCCTCCCTCCTACCTCCCTCCTCCTTCCCGAAGCCCGATCTCCGCCTGAACGCCTCCTTCGCTCCGCACTCCGTCCGCTCTCCCTCCTCCCCTCCCCTTCCTCTCTCCGTTCGAGCTCCGCCAGACCTCGGCCGTCCCTCGGCCCTCCGCCCTCCTTCAACTCTCCCTCATTCCTCCCTTGGTTGGGCCTCTCTCCTCCCTCCCTCCTCCCTACCTCCTCCCAGGTTTCCTCCTTGGCCCTTCCGCCTCCCTACCTTCGTCCTCCCATGGCCCTTCCTCCTCCCTCGTCCCTCCCTCGTCCCTCCATGCTTCCTCCCCAAGCCCTCTGCCTTTCCTCCCTCCTTTCTCCCTTCTTCGCGCCCCGTCTTTTTTTTCCTCATCGATATAAACGCCGCATTTCGTTTCCGATCCCCGTGTGCGCGCGCGCGCGCGCGAGAGAGAGAGAGAGAGTGACTCATGTAGCGATGTAGAGGATGGGGGAGGAAGAGCGCAAATTGTGGAAAGAAATAGATCGCTTGAAATACTTGGCGCGGGTCAGTTCGATGATTAATCTTAAAGCCGCCCGAAAAGAGCTAGAGGAGAATGTTGAGGAGGAAGAGCTTGAGGAGGCGGAATGCGTACCTTGCGTGGTGGAGGAGACGGACGAAGGAGAGGTACGGGAAAGGAAGTGCGTGAATGGAAAGGAAGAGCTGGAGGAGGATGTGGAAGAGGAAGATTGTTAGGTTGAATGTGACTGTCTTTCTCTCTTTCCTTTTGTCCCTTTCCCTCTTTCTTGCGCGCGTGCACCCTTATTGAGATCTCCAAAAAAATGCATCGTTTACATCCATCAAAAATAGGAAAAAAAAAAGAAATGCACTGCTTAGGTCGGGCGGTACGAAAGAAGGGAGGCCGGTAGGAGGGAGGAAAGAGGAAGGCAGGAAGTCGGGTGGAGGGGGGAATGGAGGGAGGAGGTCAGGTGGAGGTCGGCCCGGAGGAAGGGATGGGAGGCAGGCGGTTTTAGGAGGGAGGAGGTCAGGCCGAGGCGGAGATCAGGAAGAGGAAGGAAGAGAAGGCCGAGGCGGAGATCGGGAGGAGGAGATCGTGTGGAGGAGTTGATGCGGAGATTGCCAGTGGTGAAGGAAGGGAAGGGAGGTGGTCGGGGGCGGAGGAGGTCGGGAGGAGGCTGGGAGGAACGGGAAAAGGTAGGGAATAAGTCGAGCGGGGGGAGGGCAGTGGTAGGGAGGATGGATAGCAGAGGTTGGGGGAGAGAGAGAGAGAGAGAGAGAGAGAGAGAGAGAGAGAGAGAGAGAGAGAGAGAGAGAGAGAGAGAGAGAGAGAGAGAGAGAGGTCGCCACAGTTCGGGTGGAGGGTGGGGGCGGAGGGTCGCCACAGTTGGGGAGGAGGGTAGGCGCAGAGGGGTAGGAGGTATGGCGGAGGGATCAAGGAGACCGCGTGGAGGTGGGAGTAGTTTTGGCGGAAGTCGAGAAGACGTGGAGAGGATCTGGGTGGAGGGAGGCAGGAGGGTGGCCGGAGGGACGGAGGGGATCAGGTGGATGGGAGGCGAGGAGAGAGAGAGAGAGAGAGAGAGAGAGAGAGGGAGGGAGGGACTTTGCCACACTGTCCACGAAGTGATTCTGACACGTGCTGGTCGTTTTTTTCTCTGGCTTTTGTCTTCCAGGAAATGCTCCAAGATGCGCTCCTAGCAGCATTACGGCTCACATGACAACACTACTACTTCCGACTACTCCCCCGGGCGAATAGCAACTGCGAAGGCGACATCCATTGGATGCTGATTACTTCATTCATGAATTGCGGGGCCTGCTTAACGACAGTGGCACACTTATAATTGAAGGCGACATCCGGCAACTCCCCCCGGCCAATTCTCAATCACACCTTCTCGGTCGACCGAACTGAGACACACACACACACACACACACACACACACACACACACACACACACACACACACACACACACACACACACATATGCACTTGCAGACACACGCACACATATAGAGTCAGAACTCAGATGGCGAGCACATGGCATACATATCATAAACATTATTCAGAAGACACAGCAAACAGACTTTGAATCGGGATCTCGACCAAACAGATTAACGGGGCAGCATGTTCTCAGGAAAGCTCTAGTTGTCGGACTGCAACTTTGAATCGGGATCTCGACCAAACAGATTAACGGGTCATTTGACTTCAATTGCGCAAAACAAAAAGGGATGCTGAGAAGGTAACGGCTTCCGTTCCCTCTTGTGTTCTTGCAAGCGAAGCTGCAACGGGTCATCTAGTTTTGTATGATTCCGTGAAACCCTGGGCTCCGAGAGCCGGTCGAGGGATGTCCGCCACCGCCGCCGCCGCCGCCGCCGCCGCCGCTGGAAATCCGTTACCTTCTCAGCATCGGTTTTTGTAGGAAGGGAGCGGAGCGTTCGAAGTTTGTGTGAGGAAGGGAGCGGAGCGTGGTCGAGAGAGAGAGACAGAGACTGCGCGCGAGATGGCGGCGGGCGGAGGAGAGGCGGTCGGAGGGATTTCCGCCGCCGTCGCCGCTGGCGCGGGATCCCGAGCTCCGGCGATTTCGTCACTGAAGCTACAGATGAAGAAGACGTACAAACCGATCTCGAAGCTGGAGGTATTTTATACCGGAGGACGGATAGGAGTGTCGAGGGATGGGTCGTTCGTGGCCTGCCCGTGTGGAGAGGAAGTGAAGGTGGTGGATATCTCCTCAGGAGCGGTTCGTGTGACTCTTGCTGGGGACGGAGAGGCAGTGACCGCCGTCGCCGTCAGTCCTGACGGTGTTTCCGTGTTCTGTAGCAGCCGAAGCTTGCAGACTAAGTGGTGGACCATAGATCCATTGGAATGTCGGCGCTCCTGGAAGGCAAGGTCACGCCTTCTCTCGCCTCTTCCTTCCAGTTTATAGCAGCTTCTACTCCCCTTTTTCCTCATCTTTTCCCTCTCTTGGCAGCCAAGGTCATACTATCGTATATCAGCTCCTGGTCCCACTTTTCTCCTCATGTTTTTCCGTCTATTGCCAGGTAAAAAAAGTCACAGCATCACGGCAAATCCCGTTTTTCTTTTTCCCCTTTTCTCATTTTTATCTTCAGGATGGAACCCTTTTTTATCTTCAGAGTGGAAACCCCTTTTTTTAATCTCCGGGGCGAAGCCGTTGAGCTGGTTTGTTTTGGGGTCCTCTATTTCACATGCGTTCTTCGTTCGTAGGCCGCCAGGATGTCTTATGCATCAAATGACCCTGCTGCAGCTGCTGAGCACGTGCACTTCACTGCTTCATACTCTCTGTCACGGTTGCCACCATACTCCTACGTGCATGCGTCACGTAGATAGTATAGAGCATGCAATCTCACTGCTTCATGCATAAAAGTTGATGAAAGCCTCAGCATACATGTTTCGAATTCAATCTTGCAAGCCAATTGGAATTGGAAGATGTAGAGTGATTGGCGAAGCCTGCTGGCACCGGTGCCCATCGCTTAGGTGCCAAGTCATTCTATGGGTTTGGACTTTTTTTTTTTGGGGGGGGGGAGGGTTTGGAAATTGTATTGCCCCAACTTCATGTTGTTTCGCACCTGGACCAAAAATTGCCATGTCATTCTGTGGGTCTGGAAATTGTATCGCCCCAGTGCCATTCTATGGGCTTCCCAACTCCATATAATGGTGTTGTCACTCCCTGTCCATCTTTTCCATTTCACACATGAACCAACAGTGCCACGTCATCATTCTCTTGTCTTTTTCGATGCAGTAAAATTCTCCCCAACCAGTCACTGCAGCAGGAATCCTCCCCCTGCCTTCCCCTCCCCCCTCCCCCCCCTTCTCCCGTACACCCGTCTCTCCCCCTTTGATGCCGAGAGAGGTTTTCTGTCCAGTTTAACGCCAGGCCACGTGCCCGTATCGGAATTCCGCTACAGAAAGCGGAAATCACTTGGCTTCGTGAGGCTTTTTTTTTTTTTTTTCTTTTTCTTTGTGAGGCTAGGCTCTCTCTTATCATACTTTCTCAAGGTCAGTATGAGTGTTGCGTCACTCTTCGGATTTTTGCAGCGGGGCCTCAGAATGTCTCTTCCGCCACGGCGGGCTATCTCTTGAGTATGGTTTTGAAGTGCTCTATGGTAATGGGCAGGGGTGGCGTATAGAAAAGGGGAAAATGTTGTCATGTGAGCCATGGCAGCTGTAGGAATTCTTGGGATGTGATAATGAAGAAAGATCTGACGTTGTAGAGTTGGTGCTGCTTTTCTGAACTACCTCGGACAGCTAAAGCGATAAATTTAGAATTCCAGTCTAAACTAGGAAAGTATTTTGAGATGGCTTGATTCTCCATTGTCTCTTCTGAAGTGTTGGTGCTGCTTTTCTGAACTAGGAAAGCTAAAGAGATTTTTTTTTTTTTTTTTTTTTGAGATATTATCATTTAGCTGACCGGCCCCAAGCAATTCATTAGTAGTTGGCTTTATTCATCAAGCTCTATCATCATCTGGATTCGAACACAGATCTGTATTTCAACAGTTCAGGGGTGTACCCACTGACTGAGCTGGGCTCTTGGGTACAAAGAGAGAAATTTAGAATTCCTGTCTACAAGTATTTTTTTGAGATGGCTTGATTCTCCATTGTCTCTTCTGAAGTATGGCTCTTCTAAAGCGTCGATGATAGTACTTTTGCGTTTTCGTTGGCAATTAAGGATAGATTGGACTCATCAGTGAGCCGTACTCCTGTTTTGTTTTATTGCTAATTGGTAGTTTCTGTTCTGTCCCTCTCTCTCTCTTGCAGGCCCATGACGGACCTGTCTCGGATATGGCAGTTGACTCTTCGGGTGGCCTCCTTGCGACTGGAAGTGCGGATCGGACGATACGTGTGTGGGATGTTGAGCGAGGATACTGCACGCATTCCTTTCGAGGGCATGATGGGGTTGTCAGCCGAGTGATGTTTCATCCTGACGTACACAGACTGCAGGTAAGTAAGTTCTGGATAGAGGACCTTCTCCCCCCCCCCCCCCCACCAAACTTAAGCACCCCCCGTTCTTTGCACTGTTTTTTGGTTTTCCTCTTTTTTCGTTTTCTTTAAATGCGATTCTATTTCTCCTTTGTTTAATCTTTTCGTCTCCTTTCTGTTCTTGTCTGTCTGTCTGTCTGTCTGTCTGTCTGTCTGTCTGTCTGGGTCGGTTGGTTGGTTGGTACGTCCACGACTATGCAGTACGTCCCACTGTCCATCCGCCGGTTCGTTTGGTATGTCCGGCTGTCCATTCGCCGGTTCGTTTGTTCTCCCAGCCTTCTGTTGATGCGTCTGGCTGCCATCCGGCTGTCCGTCCGCCAGTCGCTCTGTCTGTCCGTCGGTCCGTGCGACCGCTGGTCTGTCCTTCTGTTGGTGTGTCGGTCTATCCATTGATCTGTCTGTCTGTCTGTCTGTAGACCTTTGGTTGTCTGTCTTTCCCTCTCTGTTTACAATTCTGCTTCTGCATGTGGGAATGATTGTAGCTCGGGCAAGTGGAGGATTGTGCGAAGAGCATTGTTCCCGTGTTTCTTTTTTCTGAAGGGGCCATATTCAGCTCACCTGGTCGTACGGTGGTTATCCATATGATCTCTTCCTTTCTCTCCTTGTGATCACTTATGGGATGATGCGGCTGTTCTCTGTGGGACTTAGACACAGATGGATTGAAGGCCTTCTGAAGCACTTCTCTAGGACAGCAGGCCGACCACTTTCTGCAGATGGATGGCTTGTCCTCTCGTCGTCAAGCAGCACGGTGTGGGTCCTGTCTCTTATACACATCTAGATGTGTATAAGAGACAGGAGAGAGAGAGAGAGAGAGAGATGTGGTGGTGGGGGATTAATTGCTGATTTTTTCTTTCTGTGTGATTGCTTGTGGGGTTCAGCTCATTTCAGGAGGTGATGATGCAGCTGTTCGTGTTTGGGATTTAGTCACGAAGTCTTGCATCGCATGTTTCAAGAAACACTTCTCGAGGGTAACAGACCTCTCGCTTTCGGCAGATGGATGGCTTCTCCTGTCATCGAGCAGAGACAAGGTAAGATCCTGTTGCTATGTGGACTAAAAAACTGGGCAAAGCTTGTCCTCTCTCTTGCTTTACCATGCAGTTGGATTGAGCTTGCTTTCATTTCTCTTTGACATCAATGGACATGACCATTGATTAGAAGGATGTGTGCTGGAAGAGCTCCGTTCCACTGCATACGGATAAGAGCCTTGCGCTTTTGCCACATGTCATCATCAGCTAGTGACCTGGCTCCTGCCGCTGATTCCTTCACCTTCGCTGTCGTCTGTCTTCTCTATGTTCGTTTCTCTATGTTTCTTCTCTCTTTGCTTTTGTGAAGTTTTTCCTTCCGCTCACACTTTTTATTTCTGCAGCAGGTTGTTTATTTTGGGCAAAAAGCTTAAACCGTGGGCATGGTAAAAATACACATGGCTTGTCCAGGCACAAAACTGTGGGCATGATCAAGGTAGCACACGGCTTGCCAGGTCGTTATGTATGTTGTAGGTCGATGCCCACGTTATCTTCCTTCTTCGGTCTTGGTTCAGGCAACGCCTCATTTGAAGTCGATGCTGAAAGTTAGCTTTTTTGTCAATCTCTTCTTTAGAATCTCTTATCAACGGCTAAGCAGTTGCAGTCGAAGTTACCCCATCACATCAGCTGCATTCCGCAAGTCTTTGTGCACTTCAGTCTTCTGGTCACCCTCTCATCAAGTGATGATGGGTCTATCATGGACGTCTGTAGTGGCAACGGGTTTCCCTTCGTGTAGAGGGCCATCATAGATGCATTGCCTGGGTCTATATCATGGATGTCTGTAATGCCGGCTCCTGTGAAGATCGGTTTGGCTCTGGAGATGATTGTGTTTAGGATGTAGTAGGTAGCAGGACGTCTGTGGTTAAGGCATAAATACATATGCAACTTGTGGCTTCTATTGTTGCTTTCTAAAGTTGGTCAGTTGGCCTTGCCACTGATCTGACTTCGTGCACTCAGCTGCAGCTCAGACATGTACCTTTTGTGCCTGTAACTACCATGCACTCGCTTAACTATCGGTGCCTGATGATCTGCCTCTCATTCGCCGCCTGCCGATTTTTTTTTTTTTTTTTTTTTTTTTTTTTTTTTTTTTTTTTCCGTAGGTGGTGAATGTGTGGGATCTGCGCGACAATACCCTACTTCACACCGTGCCAGTCTTCGAGGCTGTGGAAGCTGTGGCTGCTGTTCAGGAGGGTAGTGGATTGCCGGGAGTTCGAACTGCACGCCCAACCTCAACTACAAAGAAGAAGCTGCAGCAGAAGAAAACGGACCAGCCATTACATTTCTTGACGGCTGGAGAGAGCGGTTTTCTAAAGATCTGGAAGGCGGACAGGTACAGATTGCTTGGCTGCCTCCTCCTCTCTTTATGAAGAGTGTGAATGCCATTGCTTTTTTCGGAATCTAGTTCTTGGAGGGTTAGTTTGGGATCTCTGTCTCGTCATTGTTTGCATTTCTGATCTAGTTTTTTTTTTTTTTTTTTTTTTTTTTTTTTTTTTTTTTTTTTTTTTTTTTTTTTGTCGAAGGTAATCATAATATGTTTGCTTCGTTGCTCTGATATGTGTTCACTCAAATTCATTTTATTGGCAAAGGTAGGTTCCCTTCAAGACGTGACCAGGCTAAGAGGTAGCAAAACAGGGGATGATGTAGTGATTCGTAACAAGACGAGTCTCTGCCTGTACCCATGGAGTATGACGAGTGTGAGTTTAATTGCTTTCTTTGGAGTCTAGTTCTTGGAGGACTGGCCTTCAGTCTCAGAAGAAATAGCATGCAATTCCCCTCCCCCCAACACCATCCCTCCTTTTGTGGGTTTGTGATTTGATTTTGTCCAGTTAATTCTAATGTGCTTGCTTGTCCTATGATATGCGTTCTCTCTCAAACGCATAGTCGAAGTTTTTCCCCCAAACGTCAGCATGTTAGGGAGTCCAAAAGAGGGCCTGAGTTAGGGATATGTGACAATAGGAGTCTCTGCGCCAGCTGCATATTTCAGACAAGTATCAGTTGCAATGCCAATGTGGGCGGAGGAACTAGAGAATGAAGGTGAGGGGTGGGAGTGCCCATGGTTAGCAAACAAACAAACCATGAACGCTGAACCCATGAGCTCTGGACCATGAATGAATACACGTGGTTAACAGGGGCTGTGATTTTCAGCGAACTTCGCACTGAAACTGTCATATCCTCCTGTTTTTTTTTCCTGCTTTTTTTTCTTGATTTTTTTCGTGAAGCCTGAAAAAAAAGCAGGCAAGTGAGTGACCACCGATCAGGAGTATTGAAAAGGAAGTTAGGGAAGGGAGGGGTGCGGAAGTTGTTGTGAATATCCGGCAAGGCATTGCATACACCTCGTGCCTGTTGTGCTGTCATTGGCACCCTCCCTGTGACTTTTCGTGAAAAAGACCTCCATTGCTAAGCATGCTATTGTAGCGAAATGGGGCACATCTTGGTCCATCCATCGATTGATCTGTTAACGGTGAACTTCACCTTTTCTTTGCTTTCGCCTTTTCTTTGCTTTTGGCTTTTCTTTGCTTTTTGCTCATTTATGACCCATTGCATTGCTGTCATTTGGCAACTTGGATCGGATCAGTGCTACGTGTGTTTTTCACCAGAAGCAAGAAGACAGAGACGGGATGGGGTTGGCCGCCGTAGAGAAGGGTGCAAAAGAGGAGGATCGAGTAGTATCGGCTGCAGACAGCTTCACCGCGGCCATGATTATGCCTGACGGGAAGACAATCCTTGGGGTGACAGGGGATCAAAGGCTGGTATTTTACAAGCCCAAGGCGAAGAATGCAATGGAGGATGGTGAGGGTGAAGGAGCAGGAAGGGAGGAAGGCCTCAAGATGATCAAACAGTTGATCGGCAACAATGATGAGATTACTGACCTGAAGTTTATTGGAAAAGAACTGGACCTGGTAGCAGTGGCCACTAATGCTGAGCAGGTCAGTTCAGCTTCTTGAGTTGCTCATCACTGAAGAGTGCTGAAATACTGTTTGAACGAGAAAGAAAACACCTTTTTGATTGTTTCCAATGCATGCCATCAACATGGGGCTCTCAGGACAATTCTCTGGTGAGTCATGATTAGTGTTCTGGTTTTGCTGCATATCGATTCTGAATTCCAGATCTTATTTTGCACTGGAGGAGCGAAGTTGACTTCACTGCATTAGTCAATCAGCCCCCCCCCCTCCGGCCCCTTCCCCCCCCAAAAAAAAAAAATAAAAATAAAAAATAAAAATAAAAAAATTGTTGTATATCTGAATGCAGGTCAGTGACTTCAAGTTTAAAATGGTTGACCCACACACAGATCAAGGGCTGCGACTTCAATGCCAATTCATGTGGCCAGGCGAGGATCAATGAGAATGGTGGTGTAGTCTACCTGGGTCATCATGCTGTACGTGTGTGGAAAGAGGAGCAAATGAGAGAACAACAGGCAGATATGTCATTCAATCTAAGAGAAGGACATCGAAGCAACATGCCATCAATGTGGATACTTCACACGTGAATATAAGTTGATATTGCACAATAAAAGGAAAGATTGGGAGACAGTGAGGGGGGGAGATATGAAAGAGTACACTCTGTCTCTCTCTCTCGCCAAGGCACAGACCCAGACACATGGACAGAATAGACAGCAAGGAGAACACAGTACTCCACTTTCGGGAACCAAAAAAAGCAGGCTTTCTCTCTCTCTCTCTCTCTGTCTCCCTCCCCCCCCCCCAACAGATAGGCAGAGTAGACACCAAGTAGAAGGTAGTGTTCGACTTTCAGCAACAAAAACTCTCATTCTCGTGATTTCACAACCATTCTTCTGCGGTCTGTGAAATGTTTCCACAACAGCATGAGCAAGCCATTCGCAGTGACGTAAGAATGCATTGTGAATGCTAAAGAACAAGTGAATGAATGCATGCCAATGGATGTTTATAGGTTGAATGCCAAATGGAAGTCACTGAATCAGGTTGTGCTGCTTTCCAGGTGCGAAGATGATGAGGAAAACACACTCAGGCTGCTGAGCATTGGTTCTGCTGTGTTGTTGCTGACATGATCGGTGCAGATTCGGGTCTATAATATGGAAACTTCAACCTGTGTGAGGTCCTTGGTTGGACACTCAGATATTGTTCTCTGCCTGGACGCCGGTGTGAGCATGACTGGGCGCGCACTTCTTGTCTCTGCTGGGAAGGATCACAGTGTGAGTGGTTGTCATTCAAATGCCCGGGCCATCAGTGTGGGAACCCTTTCTTCTATGCATTCTCCTTGTCAAATAATTTGTGCAACAGTGTCTGTCATCAAATGCTCCTATCCCTATAGAGCACAGATTGCCTGAAGCATCACCCTGCAGTCTGTCCTCGCCACACTGTCAACATGCGGGTATGATCTGGTTTGGTCAGCACGTAGCCCAGCAGTCTGACCACGTGCGGTAACACATCAGTGAATGCCAAGGAGGAGGAAGAGGTGGAGGAGGAGGAGCAGAAAGAGAAGAGGGAGCATAAGAATACGGATGATAAGAAAAAGGCAAAGAATATTAATTTGTTATTAAACCACCACCACCTCTCCCAGGCAACATCGATGATTGAAATCGTAACATTCTGCAGACTTCAGATGAACAGTGCGCAGGGGGAATTTACCTTCGCAAAAGAGGCTCAGAGAATAAGAATAAGAATACGAATAGGAGTGCGGATGTGCATAAGAATAAGAGGAAGGATGGTGGTGAGTGGGTGTCAAGGTTTTTTGTGCTTTGAGGAAGGCTTGGAGTGGGTGGGGTTGGGGGGAGATGGGGGGCATGGTCGACTGGGGTGTGAGGGTCTGCAAGCGGGGAGGGCAGGGGGTGTTGGGGGCCCAGGTTTGCGTTGTAAGGTGGGTTAGGGGTGCTGGGAGTGTGTTGCCCGGGAGAGAGGCTGGTGAAGGAGTCTGGTGGGGATGTGTCTTCCAATTGTTTTCTGGTGAGGGTTGCAACAGGCCAACTTGCTATGTTGTATGGTCCAGGGGGTGAATGCTTACCGTTATTCTCCCCTCCCTTCTCCCCTGATTCTCTTCCAGATTGTGCTCCTGGGGTTGCCAATGTGCAGTTTAGGGCCTGAACTTTAGTGTTTGAGCTGCCTGTGTCAGAATTCGGAGAGACCATCAGCTTAGGCTGGTCGCACATCAGTTTATAATTGTAGGTGAAAAGCGGGGCTCAGCATTGAGAAGCTTAGGCTGTCTGCCCTGTAGTGCGAATGGTTGTTGCTCTGAGAGGTGGGAGCAAAGGGGGATGATAGAAATAGAAATAGACCCACCCTACTGGATTTTCATTACTAAAAGCATGCACTCCTGCCGTGGAAGAAAAAGAGTTCCACAAAACCAACATCTCTACGAAGGGAATGGCACATGGGGGGTCATTTGTTCTTCTTGACATTTTGCATTTCTGAGGATGTACCGGCACACAAACTTTCGTCATGCTTTGTTTGTTTGTTTGTTTGTTTGTTGTGGGAGAGATCTTGGTAGACAGTGCTTGCAGCAAGTCACGCAAGAACGTCATGTGGAGTCAAATAGCAGTTTTTTTTATATATTTTATTTTAATATGGTTATAGGTTGATCCGCATGTCGAGTCAATGAAAATCCTCTAAGCAGATGACATCGTGACACCTGTTGGATGGATTTGCTACTCATGGCTTGTTGAGCGTTCTGAACACTCTTTGTGGTGATGGTTTTCTACTTACTTGCCCTGTAATGTCGAAAGGCAGCTGGTGAAGAAGCAAGAAAGGAACTAAATGAACATGCATCATGAGCACCAAATAAGATCAGGAAAGATTATTACAATAATATTACTGCGGTTGTCTCAGGCTGGTTGTTTGCATTTGGCAGGTACGTGTATGGGACGTGGAGACGGGTGCATGTGTTGCTGTCGCAGTAGGGCACATGGCAGCTGTCAGTGCCGTTGTGCTGTCACGAAAACGGCGTGATTTTATCATCAGTGGGGGAAGGTAAGCTTTACATAATCAGATGCTAGCTCCAAACCATGGTCATCCTTTGCTTACCTTGTCATAGCTTCCTAAACCATAGCCAGCTATGACAGATTGGATATAGAAGGAGGTGGACCTTCCTGTTGTAGCCTCCAACTCCACTAGCAGAAGAATGGTAGCATTCTGCCTGCCGCAAGTGCGCGTGCTTACGCTTGACCTATCATAGCTAGAAGTCATGTAAGGGCTGGGCTGACCACGGCGTTGTTCCAGCAGCCTGCTCCATTCATGGGGGGCAATGGCCTCTTGTGGTGGGATATTAGCTGTGTGCATTCTGCCCTTGGTACAATAGAAAACCTAGCCTGTATACTATCTGCAGGGCCTGCTCCTAGGTCCGCGCTGGCTGCAGAGCCCAGGACAAGGCCTGGTGCTATTGCATTGCTGGAAAATTGCCCCTCGCTCCCCTAAATTTTGTTTCTCTGTCCTTCAAGCTTTGGAATTAGCAAGTCAACCCTTGCAAGACTTTTCTCATACCTGCCTTTCCACTGTCAGCTGATGAAGGTAGACCTCAAAGTTCAGCAGCTTTCTGCAGGTAATAACATCTCCCGTGTCCTCAATCCATTCATGGACATGCCCAAGGAATCATTCAGTCGGAGATGAGAACAAAACTTTGAAAATTGCACATACGGGCATGCATTGTAAGAACCCTAGAAATGTCAAGAAAAACACAAAAGAGAGGGGAAAAAATAAACATCAACAGATTGCGGAAGTAACATTAAAAAACACAGAAGAGAGCAGACAAAACCAGTGCTGGACAGTCACCCGAGTTGGCATGCAAGGGTGCACCCACCAGAGGACCAGGCGGCTCAAAAACAGTAGCTTGGATCCATACTTTCTGGCCGCAGACCTCCTCCATGCTAGCATGGATTCGAACCGGTACCCTTTGCCACAAGAGCCAAGTCTCTTAACCACTACAGCCAGCACACCGTGTTTAAAAGTGGAACCATACTGGTTGTAATATCCACCCCACCCCTCCAAGGCTGTAGTGTCCTTCACTCACTCACTCACTCACTCACTCGCTCACTCGCTCACTCACTCACTCACTCACCCACTCACTCACTCACTCGCTCACTCACTCACTCACTCACTCACTCACTCACTCACTCACTCACTCACTCACTCACTCACTCACTAACACACACACAACACCTTACGTATGCGTCAGTAGTCGCACACTTCGCGCCAATCCAGTACATGACCCCCACTGCTCCATTGCCCTGGTCACACACATGGGACTCCCCGCGGGTTCCACGGGAGCTTCCTCAGTAGTTTGGATCCATACTTTCTGGCCGCAGACATCCTTTGTGCAAAGCACGGATTCGAACCAGCGTCCTTGGCCACAGAGCCAAGTCTCTGAAATCACCACTACCTTCCCCTCAAATCGGCTGCGGGGTGGGTCCCCGCACGTTTAGGTGGCCGAAATGAAACGACGGCTGCCGATGAAATTTATCAATGGCGGCTGCCGTTCAGCCCAGCCCCTGAAATATGCATTATTGGCTATGTTCCCACTTTTCCCAACACTGGGAAAGGTAGTGGTGGTTTAACGACTACAGCCAGGGTGGGCCCGGTGGGGTGGATGAAAAACGGGTCAAGGATTGCAAAAAACAAAATCCGGACTTCAGGCCAAGACCGCCTTGGCCTGAGCAGTCAGAATCCAGGCTTACCCTGCAATTCCGTCATGGGTTACCAAAGGGGGGTTTGTGGTAAAAACAGGGTTTACAGGAGGGGATCTAAAGGGGTAGACATTAACTCTTGTTGCCTCTTTTTTGTTTTCCCCCCCTGAAACTAGCAGCCAAAAGTCGTTTATTGCAATTCTACACAATATATGCGTCTTCGGAAATCTTCCAGGTTTTGTTCTTTCTTTTTTAACTTTTCCTGATCTGTTTTTAAATGTTGTGCATTGGGAGTGCCTGGAAAGCTGCTGGGACATCCTGCGGTTGGGCCCGCCCAAGTGTTAACTGGGCAGACCGAGCCAGTCCAGGCTGCCCCGGGACCAGCTGTAGACAAAAAAAAAAAAAACACAGACAAAAAACACACGAAAACACACAAAAACACTGATGAAAAACGGTAACAACAACACACAGGAAGAAACACAAAAATGTTAAACAACAAAGCACACTTAAGACAACGAAACACTCTTAAACAGACTCGGACAGAGCAAAGACAGACACATTTAAGACAGACTTCTCGGGATATTATACTTGTCTGTAGCAGATAAATGATGTTTCCTATTGCTTAGATTTCCAGAAATGTTGTTGCGTCTACCTGAGCATAGTTTTCTGTCACTTTGTTTGGTTGCAAAAGCATGGAGTCACTTGCACGGTTACACTGGCTCCCTGTCCTAGTTTAACCGCCAGTTCATCCCCCCTGTTACAGTCCATCTGTACGCATGAACAAGTAACGGCCGTGGGCAGGTCGGTCTAGTAGGGCTGGTAGAGCGTTGGCAGGCCAGGGCTGGTGGGACAACACAAGAAGAGAAAGTTCCAGTGCGTCACATGCAGTGATCGCTCTACGGGGCAGATTTGGTGAGTAGTGTGGCATGGCTGAACAGTCGATGTCCGAAATCAGAATGAACCTTCCCAAAGAAAATTGTGGCAGGGCCTAAACAGCCGATGTCCAAAATGAGAATGAGCCTCCCCAAAGAAAATTGAAAGATACAGCACGTCAGGAAAGAAGACGAGAAATGAAAGATACACCATGTTCTGATTTTTGCCTTTTCTGCTTTTGGCGAGGCATGTGGCCAGGCCATAGGGCTTCGCTCCACTACTCTCGAGAATCGTGGCTGTGTATCCTTCCATGTTCTCGGAAGATTCACTCTCGTTTTGCACGTGTCTAAAGTAGTGGAGCGAGCCCTAAAGTTACGCTGCGAACTGGTTCTGCAGATGTGCAAAACGGGAATGAATCTTCCTAAAGAAATGGTAAGACACAGTGCCTCAGAAAAAGAAAGCACAAGTAAATACGCCAGGTCGTTAGTTTTGTCTTTTCTCCATGTGCTGAGTGTGTGGGGAGGCCAAAGTTGAGAATGAATCTTCCCAATGAATGGAAGGATACCCTCAGGAAAAAGAAAAAGAAGATACACCATGTTCGTTAGGTTTGTCTTTTCTGAGCATTGTGAGCGTGTGGCACTCACCACATGCCGAAAAGACAATCCTTAAGGCACTGCATCTTTCCATGTTCTAGGGGACGTTTCATTCTCACCTTGCACATCTGGCGAGTGCCGGATCCAGCAAAATGGCGGCATCGGCCTTTGTCGCACTCACTGTTGGTACCTGCCGCGCCTCAAATTTGCCAACCAGCGCTACCGGGTGCAAGCAGACTTGGCAAAATGCGTTTTTTGGTTTGTCAAAATGGCTCTGGATGAACTGGTGGTTTTTAAATTGTCAATCTATTGGACTCTGGAGTTGACCCTGCTTTCTGCACCCGTTAAGGGCGGAGGGCCGGTCTTCGGTCTTGCCTGACAAAGATAGTATACCCGCAGTATGCTTACGTACAGATCTCTTGCTTCCACCAGGTACTGAACGATAGCCGGTGCTGAGGTCCTGATCAGGAGACTCATCTGCTAGAGAACGAGCTCTTTCTGCCTGGTAGATGTCGGGCGATGATAAAGATAGCGTAGGCACCCCCTGGTTGGTATTCCCAGGAGGACTGGCTGCTCTCCAGAGAGTCCGAGGAGCACCATTACATAAAACTGCAGAAAAAAAAAAACAGGGTCTCTACGCTGTGGCTGAGAAAAAGGGCAGTAAACCCCAAGTAAAATAACTGGGCTGTGAAATCCAGTGTGGCCTGCAAAATGGGCCTCCAGCCCTTAACATGTAACATTCTTCCACTCTTCTTAGGTGTTAGAATCCTGTCAATTTGATGAAGGGCTCTCTAACATTAGTCTTCTCGTGGCATCTGTTGAGGTCTCTTTTGTCTGTTGTGCTGTTCTGTGGGGTTGTTTGTAAAGGGTGCCTTTTTTTGAGGGTTCTTTCTTTTGTTATCTTATTTGGCTTGCAGTGATCGGACACTGAAGGTGTGGAGCCTGGAAGGTGTCTTAGAACAGTGGAAAAAGGGTCAAGAACCTGTCAGGCTGAAGTCAAAAGCTGTGGTTGCCGCCCATGACAAGGACATCAACAGTGTTGCAATAGCCCCAAATGATGCGATAGCATGCACCGGCTCACAGGTAAGATGAATGCGGTAGAACAGTGGAAG